GGCGGAGCTATTCGTAGCAGCCCGAAAGGGTGAAAGTCTCGGAGAAGCATAAAAATTTTGTAAGTTCCATTCCTGTCTCAGCGTTGGTTCAAGTAAGCTGTTTACCTGCGCTACGTGCCTCCATTCATTGGCCATTCGTTCGCCTGCATCCTCGTTTTCTTGTCTCTTGATTAGGATCTGGAAATAAGGAGATCACTCCTAGTCTTTTGAAATTGCAGTCCACGATAGTGGTCTGGGCGGGGTCAGTCCTACTGCCATGTATTTTTTTGCCAAAACGTTCCTCTTTCAGGAAGATGAAAACAAAATTCGCGCTAGTGAGCAAGACACTGGTTCACTGTCTCCGCCTACACGATCAACGCGAAGTGCGCTTTAAAAGAATTGTCATTCAAGGAATTACAATTATAATAAATTACAATTATAATAGATGAGTTTCTCAGCAGAGCATGTCGTATATTCGGAGATCCCAGTGTGGGGAGTCGTATTTGGTCGCTAAAGGGAGGGCCGTATTCGCCCTCGAGAAAAATGCTTTTCGGTTCTGAACCTATAAACTTTCTCGGTTTTTCCCGTTTCGTGTACGTTATATCCTTCTCTCTCCACGCCCTTCGTCGAAGGGTGGAGGACTGGGAGAGGGGAGGTGTCGTGTTTTGCAAGACTTCTCTTCTATTTTTTTTTATTTTTTCTGTTTTGCAAGGAACAGGATGACCAGTTTTCAACCAGCATGAGTGATGGCAGTGCCTTGTAGCGAGAGGAAAAACAGAAATTTCTCCTCAGTTTGATAGCAAAAAATGTGAAAATATAAAGCTAAAAACAGAAGGGATATCCCCTGAAGTCAAAGAAACCAAAGATCGGGAAAACAAGCAGATGGTTCACAAATTTCACTGACCTGTAAAGTCCTGAGCAACTTCAGCTGTAGGTCGTCACTTGCTCGCGGCCGCTTTCGGATAGCACCGTTCTGATCCACGCATATCTCAGTATGTGGCACATCCAGCAGAAGCGACTGGAGACGTGCTGGCTGTAAATATGATGAATAATTGAAGAGAAAAACTACAGCTTTTCGAAGCCAGACGTAACGTCACACCGTCACATCAGCCGCTTCAGTACCACCGTTACCATTGAGCAAGTCCGGACCCATTTCGTTGATGATCTGAAAATGAACGAAAGAGCTTTTAAGATGTTTTATCTTACAGAAGGAGCCACAAAAATCTATCAGAGCTCCTTTGAAAAAGAAAGGGTAGAGCTTCCGACGTTGATCTATCCTCTTTAAATTAGCATTCTAAATTTGATTTGGCCCAAGCAGTGGCAGGAACCCGCGTTGGCCAGGCGATGTACATGTGAAAGTGCTCCATCCTGCTAGACGAATCTGATACTGAGCTGGAAAGACAGAAGGTCTTGTTGGACTGGGCGGGCGCCGATCTGGAATTTGAACCTCGAATCGCGCGTCTTATAGGCGTCACCACATTCCACTGCATCACGTTCACTACGAGAAAAGTCGGGGATGGGAATTCAAGGTAGCCAGAGCTAGGACAATCCTTATCACTATCCCAAGACGGTCTACCTAGCAGATGCTTTTGAACAGAGCAACGATGGGCTAATAATGTAGTCGTGTCAGTGGGACTGGGTTTAGCGCTGCGCCGAACTTTTTCACCAACTGTTGCCGCCTCTTTGGTCACATCGACTATCAATGCGTAGAGAACAAGCTACCGCAGCGCCAAACCCTGCCCCCTGGCGCATCTCAACATCCGCAGCGACCAAAATTGTATGTATACCCAGCCCGCGTGGTTTTTG